AAACGATGTTGAGAGGTGCCACCACCAGCTTCCCATAGTAATAGCTGTCCACCACCACCAAAGGAACCTGGAAGAAAGCAGATTTTAGTTAAAGTGCCAGCAGCTCCAGCTGATCTTCCTAAAGGAACTCATGCCTTCTATTGCCATCCATTTCCTCTTTGTGTTGTTGCAGGCACTCACCAAAAACAGAATCAAGGACACCACACACCAGTTCAGGAAACTTTTCCACCTCTTCTTCAGGATCAACAAGTCAAAGGCAATAGGAAGCCTGAAAGAGAGAGCAGCTGTCAGCTGGAGGCCTGGAAAGCCCCACTGCAGGCTCTGCTGACCCTTCAAAGCAGGAGACAGAACCACCACTTCACTGGCCTCTCCTCCTATTCCAAATTCATCATCCAGCTCAGGTTTTACTGATATTAATGCCAGGAAATCTGCCCAGCCGAAGTTGTTCAAAAGCCAGGGAGCCTGTAGCAACGATCCTGGGCTGTGCTGGCAGCTCAGTGCCTGCTGGCTCTGCCCAGCCAGGTGAAAAGCACCTGGCCAAGGGCAGGGACTGCTCCTTACCCCAGAGCTGCGCTGAAGGGCCAGCCCAGCAGGGCTCCAGCAGCCACCCCCAGCACTGCCACCGAGGTCCTGTCCATGTACCAGCCCGTCATGGCCACCACCGTGGTGTACATGCAGAAACTGCTGGGCAGGAAAGCTGCAACACAAGGGGATGAAAGGTCAGCACAGCTTCCCCACACTTCACCCAACACCTGCAGCGAGTGCTTTACACAAGTCTTACAGTGGCTGGGAAAACAGGTACAGCCAGCACACAAAGTGCCAAAGTGTCAGCCTCCTTCCCTAGAACAAAAGATGCCAAGGGAAAGCAGGCCAAGAGCCTGTTTAAAAGGCACAGCATTATTAAAAACAGGAGGCAGCAACAAGAACAGGCCTGGAAATTGGAACACAGAGAACAAAATTTGAATCAACGCTTATTCTGTCATGAGAATGCAACAAAGAGCACCCTGGAGATGGGATTTTTCTTCCCTCTGTCTTTGTTAGTGCCAGTGCCAAGCCAACTCACCTGCAGAAGCACAGAACATCCCCGTGCTGAGCACTAGGAAGGCCAGCATCAGCCTGCTCACGTGCAGCCCAAACTTCTTGCACACAGCCCTGGGGAAGCAGCAGAAAAACAGGTACCACAAACCAGCCTCAGGGACAAGAATCAGCAGCACCAAGGCATGCAGAGCCACAAACAACTCATGGAGCAGCTCTGAGCTGGGGGATCCCAACACTCAGCTGCTGCCTCTGCCTGGGATTTCAGACCCTGGGTTAACACCAGTGCAAAACTCTGGACGGGGCCTGGCTTCTCCCAGCTGTGCTTGTGCAAATCTCAGTGGCTGCACTGCTACATCCATCCCTCTGTGATCCTCACCCCTCACAAAACCCCATCATGCAAAAAAGCCAGAGTACTGACAAACAAAAAACTCATGCAGGGTGGTGGCTGGAAAATCAGGAATCAGGAGGCAGCAGGTAAAAATAAAAATCCCATTTAGACAAGATAATTGCATGTTAGGGCTACTGATAGTGGCTGTAAACAGCACCGGCAGAGAAATTACAGGCAGCAGCAATCAGTGAGTTCCATCACATTCACTCAGATAAGCAAACACAGCACCAGACTCTCCTCAGCCTGCAACACTCCCACCCTGCTTGCTGCCAGCAGTGAGAAAAGGAGTGGAGCCAACAAAAAGCTGGAGTAGAGGTGTGGGTGGGAGATCTGGGAGTGCAATTTTGTCCTAATTGTGGCGTTCTGACCAACATCTCAGTGAGTTATCACAAGAAATGTATTTTCTCATCTACACACGAGCCTCAAAGCCTGTTTCCAGTGGTAGAAACTGTCCATGGCACTCACACTGCTCCCACACATCCCCTGCAGATGCTCTGACACTCACTTGTAGAAGTAGAGTTCACAAATGCAGCTCAGGAAGGCCAGGAAGCATCGTAGGAAATAGAAGATGAGAACCTATTAGACACAGACAGAATCTGAATGAGGCATAGGACACAAAAATGAGCTTGTAAAGCATCAGGGGAAACCCACAAACCCTTGGAAATCCTTACAGGGAGGTCAAAGTTTGCTAACAAACAAAAAAACAACAAACAAAAAAGTGTTTTATAAACATGAAGTCAATTTCAACACCAAACAGGACAGCTGTTTCCCACAGACTAAATGTACATTTCTTCCCCTCAAAAGCAGCTTCCACACACAAAATTTACCTTGTTGGTTTGCAGAACCCTGGCATGGAACCAGGCTGGCAAGGCATGGAGCCACAGGTAAGCATAGGAGCGGATGGCATAGGCTGGAGAGTACTCCCACGTCTGAAACCCCTTCCCATAAATGAGGTAGTGTGTCTACAACAAAGACCAAATAAATAAATTAACCCGCAGCACGCAAAGCAGAGAGTTTTCCACTCCCCACCTCTGAATCCCAGAGCAAAATATTTCTCATTGAAACAGAGGGATCAGCACAAGGTTCTAAATAAATCCGCATTTGCACAAGGCAAGTGGAAACTGAAACAGAGAGCACAAGGTCCTAAATAAATGTGTATTTGCACAGGCCAGGTACAAATTGGCAATGCCAATTTGCGACTCACCGGCTCCCAGTAGTTAAAGGTCTCATCACAATCCGAGATGTTGCTCAGCAGAGCTGCACAGAACCTGGCCGAGATGAGACACTTGAAAGCTGTGGATCCTTCAGGGGCCCAGACGTGCCCCGCTTTGCTCCCGGATGATCTAACCCAAAAGGGGCAGGGGGGGGGGAAAAAGAAATTGAAAATTACAAATATGCAGCAGGGACACTCGGCAAGGAGATCAAGGCTCACAAGGCGACCGTGAGCAAAGGGCAGGGGAAATGCCAGTCCCCTCACAGGGAAGCACCAGCAGCCCCCGGGGGATGCTCGGGCACCGGCCCCGCAGCGCGGACCAGCCTGCGAACCCCGGCACCGGCAGCGCCGGTGGCCCCGGTGGCTTCAGCAGCCTCGGTGGCCCCGGTAGGCTCAGCAGCCGCAGCATTCCCGGTAGCCCCGGTGGCATCAGCATCCCCGGTAGCTCTGGCAACCTCGGTAGCCCTGGTGCCCGCAGCATCCCCGGTAGCCCCGGTGGCCTCAGCATCCCCGGTAGCCCCGGTGCCCGCAGCATCCCCGGTAGCCCCGGTAGCTCTGGCAGCCCCGGTAGCTTCAGCATCCCCGGTAACCCCGGTGGCCTCAGCATCCCCAGCAGCCCCGGTAGCCTCAGCATCCTCGGTGGCCCCGGTAACCCCGGTAGCCCCGGTGGCCTCAGCATCCCCAGCATCCCTGGTAGCTCTGGCAGCCCCGGTGCCCGCAGCATCCCCGGTAGCCCCGGTGGCCGCAGCATCCCCGGTATCCCCGGTGCCCGCAGCATCCCCGGTAGCCCCGGTGGCCGCAGCAGCCCCGTGTCCCCGGCAGCCCCCGCTCGGTGCCCGCGGCACGCACTCGCTCCGCGGCTCGTCGCCGCCCGCGGGCTCTGCCCGCCGCCCCGCTCCGTCGCCGCCGCCCGCCCGCGGCCGCTGCCGGGCCCCCTTGGCCGCCATGCCGGGTACGGGCAGACGGCGCCGCCGGCCGGCCCGAGCAGCCGCGGCAGCGCGCCCGAAGCCGCCGCCGCCATCGCGGGTGTGGGCAGCGCCCCTGCGGCGGCGGGGCAGCGACCTGACGGGAATCTGGGGGGACTCAGGGGGTTTGGGGGGGTCCCAGGAGGAATTTCGGGGTCCTGATGGGAAATTTGGGCGTCCCAGGGGGGTTTTGGGGTCCTGGAGAGGTTTTTGGGTGTCCCGGGGGGGGGACTTGTGGTGTCCTGGAGAGAATTTTGGGGGTCTCAGGGGGTTTTTGGGAGGAATTTTGGGGGTCCCGGGTAGAATTTTGGGGGTCCCGGGGCGGGTTGGGAGCGGGAGTGACAAACGGACCGGGACTGACAAACGGACCGGGAGCGACAGAGGGACCAGGACAGAGGGACCGGGACCGACAGAGGGACCGGGACCGACAGAGGGACCGGGAGCGACAGAGCGACTGGGAGCGAGAGACGGACAGGGACCGACAGAGGGACAGGCACAGGGACAGCAATAGGAACTGCGACAGGGAGAGCACTACCCTGCACACCCGGGGCCATCACCCGTCTGTGTCCATCACTCACCCACCCGGGTCCATCACCCACCCGGGTCCATCACCCACCCGAGTCCATCACCCACCCGGGTCCATCACCCACCCGAATCCATCACCCACCCGAATCCATCACCCACCCGGGTCCATCACCCACCCGGGTCCATCACCCCCCGGGTCCATCACCCACCCAGGTCCATCACCCCCCGGGTCCATCACCCACCCGAATCCATCACCCACCCGAATCCATCACCCACCCAACTCCATCACCCACCCGGGTCCATCACCCACCCGAATCCATCACCCACCCGGGTCTATCACCCACCCGGGTCCATCACCCACCCCAGGTCCATCACTCACCTGGGTCCATCACCCACCCGGGTCCATCACCCACCCAACTCCATCACCCACCCGGGTCCATCACCCACCCGAATCCATCACCCACCTGGGTCCATCACCCACCTGAATCCATCACCCACCTGGGTCCATCACTCACCTGGGTCCATCACCCACCCGGGTCCATCACCCACCCGGGTCCATCACCCACCCCGGGTCCATCACCCACCCAGGTCCATCACCCACCCGGGTCCATCACCCACCCGGGTCCATCACCCACCCAACTCCATCACCCACCCGGGTCCATCACCCACCCGGGTCCATCACCCACCCAACTCCATCACCCACCCAAATCCATCACCCACCCGGGTCCATCACCCACCCGGGTCCATCACCCACCCCCGGGTCCCTGCCCTGCACACGCGGCCCCAGCGCTCCCCCAGCCCCTCTCCCATGTCCGAGCCAGGGTCCATCCCCGCCCTGCCCCTGAGAAGTGAGGGAACAGGGAACACACCAATGGAAAATGTTGTTTATTTGGCTCCTGCTCTGATCAGGAGATGGGGGAAGCACGGCACAGGAGGGATATGGAGGGGCTGGAGCGTGTCCAGGGAAGGGAACGGAGCTGGGAAGGGAATGGAGCCCCAGGACAGCTGAGGGAGCTGGGAAGGGGCTCAGCCTGGAGAAAAGGGGGTTCAGGGCTGACCCTGTGGCTCTGCACAGCCCCTACAGGAGCGCCAGCCAGGGTCGGGCTCTGCTCCCAGGTACAGGGACAGGAGAGGGAACAGGTTTGGGTGGACACCAGGAGGAATTTGCACCAGTAAAGAGATCGAATCCACTCTCACAGGACCCTAGGAAAGAGAGAGTCCACTTTATAAAAGGTTTCATGACATGCACACGGAACAGGAGCGCTTGGCCCTCATTAACAGGAACTCTCACACTCAAATGTGTGCTCCAAGTCCACCCTGCCCTTGTGACAGGCACTGCAACAGCACAGTGTTAGGTCCCACACACGCAGGTGATGTTTTCCAGGTCAGAAAGGAGCACAGGAGCTGCTGGAGCCCCTGCAAAGCACGGGAGATGTTCTACCTCAGGGTCACACCCAGGTGTTGCTGGATTTCCTCCCGAAAGCGCAGCTGCATCTCTGCAGCCTCCCGGCAGCCCAAGGCTCTGTCACAGGACTGGAAAGTCACCCTGTAGCACAGGCTCCTCCGTCCCGTCCCTGGCTGCTGGAAATTGTCCCTCAGCTGGATGGAAACGACCATTTCACCCGACACCCTCCTGGCAAGGCTGTGAAAAGCCACTTCATCAAAGTCCTCCCCGTCAGGAACCCAGAAGCTGACGTCGTGCACGTAGGAAGGTGGATAGAGGGAGAAACTCTTGAAAAGCCTCAACTCTCCCTGAGGAAACTGCCTGAGGAAGCGCCTGTCCCACGTCCAGAGCATCCTCCAGTCGGATATTCCGCACAGCAGCATGGCCAGGAGGTCCAGGTTCAGCGAGGCTGAGACAACACCCAGCTCCTGGCTTTTTAACTCCTCAGGAGCTGTCCTGATAACCCCCACGCAGGAGCCCGAGGGCTCTGTGTCTGTCCCCACGCAGAGGAAATGCTGAATTTCACCAAGCTGCCATTCAAAAGCAGCAAAGTCATTTAGCTCAGCTCCAAAACTTGTGGCTTCCTGCAGGCTGATGCTGGGTTTGACGCCAGAAGCACCCCGGTGAAGGGAATTCACGGTGGTTTTAATGTTCTCCACCAACATCTGGATACAGCTGTGCTCCGTGCCCCTGCGAACTGCAAGCACAAGCAGCATCTCGTGGAAGACAGGCATGGAGTGGGGAGTGATCCGACATTTCCTAAAAACTGGCCCGGAGAGAACGTGAAGAGTCCCTGGGGAAAAAGTTCTTTTTTGAATTATTGCCTGAGCACGAGGCAGGAGGGAAAGCCTAAGGTAAAACTGCTTTGGCACTGAGCATCCTTCCTGTACATTCTCATCCGTGTCCTGGCCAAAATGGGAACACAGAACTGCATCTGCCAGTCCCTGAGACATTTCCTCAGTGCTTGGAGCCTCCCCTGGGCTCAGGGTGATCCAGAAGATGCTGGAGTGGCAAACGCCCCTGGGGTGCCCTTGGTGGAGCAGAGGAAGGCAGGAGCTGATGTTCTGCAGGGGAAAAACTTGGCTGAGCCCTGCACTCAGCTCCTCCTTTATTGTCCTTACTGGATGACTTGAATTAACTTCAAGGAAACCCCTGTGACAAATAAAAGTGCAAATTACAGACACCATCTGTGATTGCCTCCCTGTGGCCGTCATTTTACCCAAAACATTCTTCAACCAGCAACTTCCTAACCAAAGCCAAGTCTTTCACCAAAGGTGTTGCACATTTTCAGGGCATTGGTGTTTGTCTGCAGGTTACAATCAAGAATTAACTGTGATTTGCTGGTAAAAAAAAGGATTTCCCAGCCACTACATCCATTTATCTGACCCCACTGCTGGGCATTCCCACTGAGAGCAGGAGAGCTGCTGCTGCCAAAGAGAAACTAATTGTAAAACTCACCTATTAATTTTATCCACGAGGATCTGGGGCACTTGAAAAGAAACTTTTTGGCTTCCCAGTTGTGTCTGGCAGCTCATGGGTGTGAAACACGGGGGTGCTGTGCTCCGTGTGAAAATGTGGTTCAAAGCACCCTCCACACAGAAGGATTTATCCTGGCTCCTGAAAATGCACAAAAGCAGAGCAAAGTCACTGCTAATTTCTGATATTTAATGGGCCCCAATTAGGCCAGAAGTCTCTGGCAGCACCAACCCCCAGTCTCCCTGCCTTTGGGCTGAGGTTGATACTTGTTCTGAAACGGATGCTTTTGACCTTTAAAATCCTCAGATGGTCTTATTTTTAGAGGGTGCTTTGGCAGGAAGCTTGCATTTTAATCTTGGTGATTCTGCCTTAGAGATGAACAAGAACTGCAGCTATTTTAAGGGAAATTTCAAGGAAGATTCAAAGGAAAATTCAAAGGAAGATTCAAGGGAAAATTAAAAGGGAAATTAAAAGGAAAGTTCAAAGGAAAATTCAAAGGAGTTCCTCTCCAGCCAACAAGACACTAAAAGGATATTCTAGCGCTGGGGCATTTTAAGAGCACAAACATCAGAATTTCAGTTTTGCCACGGGTTTTGTTACCTGTACCCTGTGCATTTGTACCCATCGATAGTCCCTGCTTCAAAAGGATGAACGTGGCTCAGGATGAAGCCAGCTGCTGCCGCCACAGCCACGATTTGCCAGCTGTTGTGCCATTCCCTCCGGGGCTGGTCCGCAGGAGTGCCTCCCTGCCCATTGCAAAGCGCCAAAAAAAAAAAAAAAAAAAAAAACAGCACTTCTGCACAGCAAAAAAAAAAAAAAAAAAAAAAAAAAATCCTGTCAGCACAGCCCAAAAAAAAAAAAAAAAAAAAAAAAA